AAAAAAAAAAAGTTTGTTCGGGGGCAGGGGGGTAGTGGGTGGTAGAGGAAAAAAAAAAGAAAGATTGATTGATTGATTGATTGATTGATGATTGATTGATTGAATGATTGATTGATTGATTGATCGATTGATTGATGATTGATTGATTGATTGATTGATTGATTGATTGATTTGATTATAAAAAAAAATGGAAAAGAATGACGCTGCGTTCCTTTATTGTTTTGATTGATTGATTGGTTGGTTAAGGGGGGTTCGCCCAGCCCCCCCCCCCCGACACGGACACACGCACGAACACACACACACACACACACAAATACACATGCACACACCCACACATGCACGCACGCACGCAAACAATCCCCCACACACACACACGCACACGCGCACACACACACACACACATTAAAAATAAGAAATAATTAAAATTTTAATAAATAATAAAAAATAAAATAATAAAATCATTATAAAATAATAACTAGGCTACCAGAGTGGCCCGGGGTCACTTGCCCGGCCGGGCCAAAAAGATTTAAAAAATAAAAATATATATATATATATTTTTTTTATATTTTAATATTGGTAAGGAATTTTGATGTGACCCTGAGGCAAAAGTTGTTCAGTTTATTTTTCTGCATAACATAATTATTTTTCGGAGTTTTTGGATTTTTTTGTCTTTTTTTGCTGGGACCCTCCCTTGTCCTTGCACGGGCTGGTCACCCGGAACCCGGGCGGCCCCGCTGGTAGCCTCAAATAATAATAATATAAAAAAAATAAAAAATAATTAATTTATTAAAAAATTAAAAAATTAAAAAACTAATAATAAATAATAATAATAAAATAATATAATCATAAAATAATAATAAAATAATAAAATAATAAAATAATAAAATAAATTAAAAATAAAAAATCACAAATTAAAAATAAATAAATAAATAAAAGTATAATAGTTTTTTTAACTTAATTTTTTATAAAATATAATAAAACAATAAATAATCAATAATCAATAATCAATAATAAGTAAAAAATAAAAAATAAAAATAAAAAATACTAATAGCAACCAATAGTATTCATTGTCCAATAAAATAAACGTGGCAGCACCATAAACCTGTACTGCAACCACTACCTTCTCCTAAGAACAGCTCGCTGGCAAACCCTTGACTCGACTTTACGACAACTTTTTTGTACTAGTCCAAACAATAATCCCCACTTTCTTACCATAGAATAACGTCGCACACTTCAGTTATGGGTCTATTAAAATTCTATTCAATTTAAAGCAACTAGCAGAAATAAGTGCCCCCCCCCAAAAAAAAACCCTACCAAAACTTCAAGACTAAAAAACAAATTACGGACGAAACGCCGCCACTCAATAAAAGAAACACCATTCCGAAACGACACTACCAACACACCAGGGAACAAACATGTGCACATGACGTGCAAACCAGTTACAACAATCCCTTCCACCACCAAAACCAGTCTCCGCGATAGACAACAAAAATAGCCCCACATCACTACAATACAAGACAACTGGCAAAAAACGATACCACGAAGCTGCCTCCCTCCTGTACCTTATAATCGACAAACAGCGCAGCAACTCCCGCTGACCTCAGGGCACTTTGACGGATACAACCCGCCCAATAAACCACGCGATAAAGAACGTTATTCCCTTGATCCGTCTTCATACCCTTCCCCCTATTGTAAGCACAACGCGAGCAAATGCCTCCCCTCGTACACCTGAAATTTTCTTCGTCCCCCTGATTACAGCTACTACGCCCACCCCCCGCTGATCCCTGCACCCACCCTTACCCTCCTACTATTACCCTCAGCGTGGCAAATCATGTTATGCACCCATCATCTGAACACACCTACCCCTTCTTCCATACATCAAGCATCATTAAAAAATCACCGGCACTACAAATAATGGCGTGCATGAGCTTCACCACGCAATTGCCAAAATACTTGCTCTCGCCTCCTTCACATCGTTGCCTCCATTCCCCTCCTACTTCCCCTTCGCAAGAGCAAGATTGCTCGCGAACTGATACTCGTAACCTCAGGAGGACTGGTCCACTATGGTGACCCCGGGCGTTGTGCTGTTGCTACAAGCTTCCTGATATTGAGCTGCGTGCTATGGCGGCGACTAATTTCCCAGCGACTCCGGCCATGACCGCTCAGGTACGTCCTTGCTAACATGATTACCTCCCCTTTTTTTTCCCCCTCCCCACCTCCCCACTTCCTAATTGGAGCTATTACTAAGCTAACCCCTCTGATGAGCTGCTATGGGTGCTACGCAGCGA